TTGATATTTTTAAGCATTATTCATAAAAGTATTCATTCAAATTCATAAGTGATAATTTTATTGATGTCAAATTCAATAATGTTTTTGTATTATTATTCTTTCTGTATTGTGATCGCTAAGAAGGCCCTTTTCATCGTGGATTCGAAAGGCACACAATGGGAGTTGACGGGTGATAAGGGACGGAGCCCGACATATCCAGTATAGACTATCTCCCAAAAAAATTCCTGCGATTTTTCGATCGCTCGGATTAGCCTTAGAAATCAGACAGTCATGTCAATAAATTTAAATGTTTATAATAAAATAGCAACAAATTTATTGCTATTTTCATTATCATTTTATTCTTGATACTTACCAACAAAGTGGCCATCATGATTTATAAATACAGTAGAGCGTCGATTTTCCGAAAGTCAATCATCCGAAACATCAATCATCCGAAAGAATTCCAGTCGGCAAATTTAAATTTTCGCCAGTGCTGTGGCGCTTCAATCTTTGGCTATGTCTTGGGCTACTCAAATATTTTACGTTTTTGATACTAAATTAACATCTGAAGTATAATTTTTTATTGTTTTTATATTTTTCAATATATTTATTTTGTTTGTACAAAATAAAAAAATAATTTTTAACGATACAATAGTCTTTGTTAGGCTTATAATCGACGAAAATTCAACGCGAAGCGACATGCAACGGAGAAAAATTTCAACATCGGATACGTTAAACTATTTTTTCGTATGTAAATCGGTTATCCGAAATATCAGTTATACGAACAACCCCAGTCCCCAATTGATTCGGAAAATCGACGCTCTACTGTATTACAAGTATTTTCAGTCTACTTAACTTCATAAATTGATAATGATAAGTCATGTTATGCAATTTAAGATATTATTTTTCTTGTTCTGCTTTTATAGTTAAATATATTCCAATTTCATTGTTTACTTTCACTTTAATTAAGATATAATTTACTACTAAATTCATTTTAAAATTACACATTAATAGAATTTTGGAGAATCTGAATAACTTCTGTGGAAAAATGTTTCTCATATTTTTATTACTTGTTGTTCTTTAATCTATACTTTTTTCTTAGAATTTAATACAATATCTTTCCTTTTTTTCTCAAATATTTTCAGTTGTAATTTACTCATAAGGAAATCTGTTTTTAGTTGTATTTTTTAATTAAGACAACTCTAGAGAAATTCCAGTTGTAAAAATTTTTTTAATATAATTTACTATGACTACATAGTGTTTCTTTTCTTTTTACTTTGGGGTGCCAAGGCACCCTTTTAAATTTTCCAAAAATATTTTCCTAATTAAAATTTATTTTTTTATTCATATTGTGTTGTGTATTTTGTTTCTGTATTACTTATAAATTAGCTATCACAGAAGGTGAAACTTTTATTGAGTTCTCATTGAAAATTTTTTTATCTGTTCAACTTAGCATCCCAAGATTAAATCTTGAGTGCACTAGTGATTTCCATATTTACAGTCCTATTTATATTCCTGTATTGAAAATCCAGTCTTAAAATAAAATGTGTACAAACATGTTTAAAAGAATTTTATTTAATGTAGTAGATTTTATCTAGCCATTTTCTTATTCATCCAGTCAGATTAAACTATATATATATAGTTTATATAGATATTGTTTATTTATTTATTTTATATCAGTAGATTTTTTTTTAACAGTATTTTATTTACTATAATACATAGTAGAGATAAATGCATTTATATTATTTCAATGTCAAACTTTATGAAAATCATTACAGTTGCAGTTTTTAACTGATTTTACTTTTATTTTATTTCATTCTTGTTTGTTTTTATAACTTCATATTTAATATGTAACATTAAAATATATAAAGTTCCTTTTCATTTATTATATTAAGAATAATGAATGCTGATTGTCATTCTTAAATCATAAAGCATATTCACTGTAATTCTTTTCTTTCAATTTGAGTCTAATATGAATTTTTTAGAATTGACAAGATTCTCAAAACTAATGAAATTTTGTTATTGAATATGTTTATTCAAAAATTATTACATTTATTTAATAAAAGGTTAGGCTTATATTAAAAAAAATTATTATATTTCATTATAAATAATTTAGTTATAAAAATAGTCATAAATTAATAATGCTAATGTTAATCAAATGCAAATGTTTGTCCATTTTCCATTATTCAGTTGTTACTTAAATGATAATTTGCTATTCTGAACTGCAAATGGTATCACTAATTTTTTGTTTAAATATCAATGTTAACTATCCACCTCTTTCTTAGCAACTACAACTAATTATATCAACACACCTGAATTTTTTGCCACACATACATAAGTTATTTTATTTCTCTACTTATTATAGCCATCTTCAAGCTTATGATTACTGTTCCAAAATGGAACTCATCATTTTTCGAATACATTTCATTTTAAATTTAAAAGATTTACAATAATTGTGTATATTAAATAAATGAAAAAATAAATAAATACAATAAATAAATAACAATAAAAATAACAAATAAATAAATAAAACATAGTAAACAAGGCTATGTATAACTACTACAAACTTTAAGGGTTTTTAATCCCCATGTTTCTTTTTATCATATACTTCCACACTGTTGGAAGTGCATTAGCATCCTTGGCATTTAGGCAACGGTTTTTCATTTTACTTTTATATATTTCCATCTTTTCCATCTCCAATGCAATGGATGGAGAGTGGACCGTTTTAATGATTTTTGCCTTATTCTATTTTATATTCGCTCCTTTGGTCTGTACCATACTGTGGTCATGTGCAAGAACACAAATACAACATTGATAAAGGACACAACACAATATTAGTGAGTATGGCGCAGACCGAAGGAGCATATATAAAATGGGATGAGGCAAAAATAATTAAAACGGATTGTCATCAAAGTCTGAGAAGCAGCCTGGTCTTTTTTCATCTTTTGAGGATAAATCAGCAGAATGGAATTTTGTAAACCAATTTTGAACTGCTCTGTTTGAAATAATTCCACTGATGTAGACATTCCAAATCTTTTCTGCTGTTTCTGTATCTGAGTTTAAACTCACACAATATGATATGGCATATATGCACTTTCAAGTGTTTCATTTTAAATGAATTCAAAATACAGTATTTTGTGAGAATACGGGCAAGGGGTTGAGACTAAGGCTCAAATTCCCTAAATGTGGCGTTGGAACGGTTAGTCCCGCTCACTTGGTCAGTGGATGGCTTTAAAATAGGAGCGTCTTGTGATGCAAGTGGGGGAGGCACAAATACGGTCAGAGTCCGTGTTGGTTTTTAAAGTAGTGTCACTCAGTCTCAATTTAACAAATAACAACATTTAATAAACTAAGCAAAACAATGGATAAATACAACTGGCATAAACATTATAACTAGATTAATGGTCCCACTACATACATTTCTAATTTCTGAGAAAGAGCATTTACAATGGAATATATAATACCTCTAATTGACCAATTTCTTCATTCTAGTCGGGGTAAGGAGATTCCTTTTGGATATGGAGACAGAGATGGATTGGGAGACAGATGACTGATGCGTTCCTTATGGCATTCCATGCTTCTATACGGCAGAGTCTGTGCCAGCTTCTACGGGCATTTGTTGTTGACTTGCCATCTGCCCTCAGGCTGCGATTTCTTCCCTTTTTATTTTAACTTCTCTCCAGTCAGTTGTTTGGATTTGTATTATCTGATAGGATACACAGATGAGTCTAACTACCAGATGTTCCACAAAAATTGAGATAACATCTTACCAAAGAAAGCTTTATTTCCCTTTTCTCACAAAATTGATAAAAGTGTGTCATTTTTAACACCAATTTAATATTTGATTTTTTTTCTTATTAAATAAAATTATTCTTTCTCCAAACTCTCACAATTTTATTACATTATTGACACCTTAGTGTTAAAATTTACATTTAGAGACTATTTGCTAATAGCCACTAATAAAACTCAGTTGAAGGGACACATCATCTTGCAAGTATTTGACAGCCATTTATACCTACTCATAACAACCTATTTATGGCTCAACTCAATATTTTGCATAATTTGTATATCAAAAACTTTTTATATAATTGATTAATTTTTAAAAATAAATTTAGTCTCTTTCATCATTGAAACTTTAAATGATTTATGTAGATTTAATAAATATGAAGCTTTATATAAAAAGTATTTTGGATTAAGAGAAGAATAGAGAAAGAAAATATAGAAGAGTAGTATATAGTTAGCAAAATGTCAAATATAAATGTAAAATAGGCAGGGCTACTGCAAGTGTATGTTCAGGGTTTGCACTGCATGTAGATGCCACTGTCAAGAGGGTGACAAAAGACATTCTTAATTAAGTGCCCTGTCTGAATTATGAAATGACAAAAATGGAATAAAGCATTACATTGAAAAAGTAAAATTGCAAGTTCCATGGCCCAAGTATTTATATGGATTTATAGTATTGCAGTATCAAATAGGTACAATGGCTGTGATTTTTTTTTTTTTGTTTGGTGAAGAACAAACTTGTATAGATAGTATATAACAATACAATGTTCTTATACATTCATACCATCCAAACTCAATTCAAAGAAGTTTTGATGGTATAAATATTTGCACTAATTTATAAAGGGCACAAAAATAGGACCTGCATGTGGGCATGAGATATCCTAGCAACAGCATTGGAAATAGATCATATAAGTAGAATAGAAAAATATATAATAATCCAATTTCCTTTTTACTATGTGACTAAAAATGGTTATTTATCTGAATAACAATTATAACCAAGATTTAATTTTATGATAACATGAGAAAACTTAAACAACAGTATCCACAGTTACAATAAGAAGATTCTTCTGTATAATATAATATATAAAAATGTCAAAAATTTCTAAAATATTTTTATCATATAAAATACTAAATAATAATATAGAGAAAATTTAATTATAAATATCATACAATTATTTTATTGATTATTTTAACATATATATGATGGGATATACTAATTTTAACTATTAATTTTTTAGAAAACGCCTCGTGTAGATGCTGAGGGTTTTACAATTGTTCCACCAGATGGAGTTCAAGAAAATATCCTTTTATCTGAAGCAGTGTAAATTGTTTGATAAAGTTTAAGAATTTGTATTGTTATATTTTAGTGTGATGATAATGAGCCTGTGATTGTTTAGCAGTACAGTGCTGGGCTATAGATCAGACGAGCCAAAATTAAATGTTATTGGCAGTAAAGTTTCTACTTATATTGCAGTTTGTTTAGTTATGAAGTCCATTTAATTTCTTTTCCAATGGATATTTGGAGGTTGATCTCTAGGAAGTAAAGTTTGCCTCAGCATGGGACTGATTAACCATCCACTTTCCTGTCCCTTCCAGTCATAGCTCAGATATATATCAGCTATCTATGATGTATACTAGAATGGATTCCTAGTATAATAATTACATATGATAATTTATGTTATTTAGTTATTAAATATAGATGTCAATGCATATTTCATTTACAGTAGAGCGTCGTCTATCCGAAAGCTGGTTATCCGAAAGCATTCCAGTCGGCAAATTTAAATTTTCGCTAGTGCTGTGGCACTGCAATCTTCGGCTATTTCTCGGGCTACTCAAATGTTTTATGTTTTTGATACTAAATTAACATCTGAAGTATAATTTTTTATTGTTTTTATATTTTTCAATAAATTTATTTTGTTTGTACAAAATAAAAAAAAGTTTTTAATGATACAATAGTCTTCGTTAGGCTTAACATCGACGAAAATTCAACACGAAGTGACATGCAACGGAGAGAAATTTCAACATGGGATAAATTAATATATTTTTTCGTACATGATTCGTTATCCGAAAAATAAGTTATCCGAACCACCCCAGTCCCCAATTGATTCGGATAAACGACGCTCTACTGTACTTTAATTATCACTTTAATGTCAGTTTTTTCAATAAATATAAATTTAGAAATTGTAAATAAATTAACATTGATTTTCATCATTGTTATATTGTCTAATTCTATCAATGACTAATTTAAACTGATTTCTTAACTAGTTTAAATGACAAAGATAGCTTCTATTCAAGTTCTGATGGAGAATCTGGTAAGTCATACAATTTTGTTATAATTTGATTATAACAATTATTATATATTAAAGATTGCCATATTTACAATTGATCTTAACTGTTAAGTTTATAAAGAATTTATATATAAACAAATTTATTGGTTTCATGTAAATACGAAAGGAAAAGAAAATATTTTATTACATTACTAAATATTTGAAAACTACAGATTTTATGGTTTAAATTTATACTTATTTGGCTACTGCTTTAGTTTACTTTTATGTTTGCACGTAAACAAATTATAAGTGTTAAAAAAAATGAAGTAGCAAGGAACAATTGCTTCCTTGTGTCCTTAGCTGTGCCACTGTGTCTGTTAAAATTTCCTGTGATAAAATATAAATTTGATAGATTTGATTAATTTTACTTGGTATATTTCATAAAATATTTTAATTTTTTTATCTGAAGATTTTATGAAACATTGTGTTATTAAAAAATTCTAATTGTGACATGTCCTCATTTTAAACTAGTCTATACAATTTCTAAACATTTACTATGGTACTATCTGTAAGTCTTGGAAAAAAAGATGGTAGCTTTTATTTATGTGTTTTAATTTGATAACTTGCTATTGCATTATTATGAAAATTTATGCCAACTTATAATTTATTTTTGTATTAGACTGAAAAATAATTATTTTGTTTTCATTTCAGCTGTAAAATTTTATGTTAACTAATGATAAAACTGATAATTATTACATGTTGTTATTACCACTGAATTGTCATGATCATCATAAGCAAGCTGTAATATTCTGTGTTCTTGAGCAGATAACTTACGATACAATACATTCTTAAACAGTAAGAATGAAAATTTATTTTTTCAAACAAAAGAATCAACTATGAGACAGTAAACAAAAATATTAGTGTTAGATTACTACTGTCAGATAACATTATATCAGATAAAGATGTGCTAATATGACATTAAACATAATATCAAATTTTTCTCTAAACGTTAAATTTATGACAATATGTTATACTGTTAGACAACACTAGACTCTCAATAACTTGAAATGGAAGAGAGGAAAAAATTTTGACTGAATGAAATTTCTAATTAAACAAGTTTGAAGTGAACTTGAGTTTTGATATCAAGATTTGCCATTTCGTTTTCGTTTCGCATCATAAATGGCAATGTTTCAATATATAATGCGATTATCTATATCATTTTAAGAAACATTTCATTGTACTATTGTGTGTTAATATGATATGAAATATTTCTCTATTTGAACAAACTGATAAACTGCAAAATTGCAGATAATTTTTAATCAATCGAGTTCACGATTACTTCATGTGAAAGTTTTCAGAATATGATTTTAAAAAGTTATATAATCTGTTATATTATTGAATACATATAATTAATCAGTGATGAAATGTCTGAAAATGATCACGAGATCTACATTCAAATAAGCTTTCTAAAATGATTTTAGCTATTATTAAATCAATAGTATTAAATCTTAAAAATTGCCTAAAACACTTCATATTAAAAATTACACAGCTGTACAAATTATATTAAAATAACATTCTAAAATAAGGATTTATTACTTTAGCATTATAAATATGAGGATTATGTAAAAGACTTTATTTTAATAAGTTATATATTTTTAAATTTACTAATGTAGAAATTGTTATACAATATATATCATAAATTAAAGAGCATATAATAATAAAAATTTCCTATTAAAATATTTTTAATAATATCAGAAATCCCTAACATTTCTAAAAATATCCGACGGTAACATTTCCAAACACGAATTTTACTCTTTTATGGAATTTCTTTCTTAATTTCAGACAATAGACTAATTTTATTGTGTAATAAAGATGAATGTTATTAAGAAATTTTTAGCATGTTGTCAATGTGGTGCTTTTTTTAAAGCTGAATATTTACAAAGAATGTGATTATAGAGAGGAAAAAATCCCTGTCCTCATTGTCTTGATTTTTCTCTTAATGTGACATTAAAATTATAAAAATTGCAATTTCTTATGTAGGTCGGCATTAAATTCTGCCTGAGTTTTACATTAGCCTAAAAATGTTACCATTAATCAAAATTGAATTTATCTATAAATTGTTTAAACCACGAAAATTTATTAAAACGCTTATTACGTTCAATTTAGATAAGAATATCAACCATAAAGCTAAGAACATTACTTTTATACAGAAAATAATAGTAGAGCTAAACGTAACGTTACTTAATCTTATACCAAGCAGAAAATTGTCAGGGGTTTAGGTTTTTTTTTTTTT